GTTGTATATTTGTTTCTGTGGAGGGGGGGGGGGGGATGTGGGAAGGAGGCTGAGCAATCGTCTGGCACGACGCAGCCACGCCGAGTCTCAGCACCCCCCGCGCAGGAGGATGCTGCCGCACAAGCGCCGCGTTGTGCGCCGCGCGTCTCCTGCTGCTGCTGCTGCTCCTGCTGCTCCTGCTGCTGCTGTGCGATGGTGCCCGGGGAGGGGGAGATTACGATGATGCGGAGCAGGAGGAGGAGGGGAGACGGGGGGAGGAGGAGGGGGTTAAGCAGAAGCAGATGCGAGGTTCTTTCCTTGGAAACATTTAATTACGGCCTGGGCAGGGCGGGCAGTCAGGGCAGGACAGAGAGACAGGGCAGGGAGTTGGGGCAAGGCAGGGGGAGTCCGGGCAGGGCAGGGAGTCGGGATAGGGCAGGGAGTCGGGGCAGGGCAGGACAGAGAGACAGGGCAGGGAGTTGGGGCAGGGCAAGGAGTCGGGGCAGGGCAGGGGGAGTCCGGGCAGGGCAGGGAGTCGGGGCAGGGCAGGGAGCTGGGGCAGGGAGTTGGGGCAGGGAGTTGGGGCAGGGCAGGGGGAGTCGAGGCCGAACATCACAGCGCCTACGCGACCCTGGCGCGGTAATGAAGCCCCCTCTGTCGGGGCAATTAGCGGTAATTGATGCAGTCACGTGGACATATTTTTAGAAAACACAATCATTGCGGGGGGAGGGGTGCGGGGAGGGGGTGGGGCCCAAGTGGGGGGAGTGGGGATGGGGGTTCGAAGGGGTCTCATCCTGCGGGCGTCCGCGATGATGGGAATCCCCGCACCAAGGGGATGTAAGGGGAGGCGGAGTCCCCCACGGGGCATAAGAAACGATGCCCCCCCCCCGTCCCCTCACCAGTAGCCCCCCGTGCCCCCCAATCCCTCAGCGAAATGTCATCACCGCTCCGTCTCCGCGGTGGACGTCTTCTCGGGCGCGTCCCCTCCGCTCGCTCCACCGTGAACCCCCCGAGTGACACCGACCCACACTCCGTGTCGCTCTTAACATCGCTGCTACCCACACTCCGTGTCGCCCTTCCATCGCTGCTACCTTGGCGATGTCCCCACGACCTTCACTCGTTCATTGCTCCACCCGTGCTGAGGACTCGGGGCTACCAGAAACTCACTCTCCCCAACCACACTGTGTTCAACCACCACACTGCAGGTCACAACAACTCACCCACCCACTCACCCACTCACTCACCACTCACTCACCGCACCGCTCACCGCACTGCTGGTCACCTGCCATCTCTTTCTGCGTCTTCCCTAGCACTGATCCATTCTGGAATTGCCTCTCCCAGCATCGTCGTCATCTCTCTCCCCCAAAGTTCCGACAGCAATAGGCTCGCTCAATTCAAAATACGCGTGAGCTTTGATCGATTCCAACTTTAACAGTTAGTGCCATTTGTTGCTGGCCACTTGGTGCTTTGGGCTTCTGGGCCTGTGGGACTGCAACCCAGTGGCTGCCTCGAGCCGGAACGCCGCTCCGAGACGCCGCTCCGAGACGCCGCTGGGCAGCCACCGCGTCCCCTCGCACCGACCCGCTCGTCGCGTTACAGGAATATCGCTCACGATTATAAAGGATTGCTATGGGTAGGCGTGCCGTGTACTCTCGTGGTAGTGCCTTACGTCGATCATTCGACAATCCCTCTAACTACCCAAAGCCAGCGCTTTGCAGCGTCCCGACAAACGCGTAGTGCGAGCTGCTGAAACCACGTGGAGGGCGGCGCGGAGTCGCCCCCCTTCCCACCCCCTCCCTTCTCCCCCGCGCCCCGCCCCCCGCCTCAGTGTAAGCGCCTCTTGACCCGCGCGCTCGTTACCCGCGACCCGCGGCGCGCCTCCCCGAGGGCCTCGCCCAGGCGGCGGCGGCGGCGCGCCGCTGCCCCCTGGTGGACGTGGCCTGCAGCGCGGGCGGGACACGCCGTGGGTCTTGGTGCGGGACACGTGGTGAGTCTTGGTGCGGGACACGTGGTGGTGGGTCTTGGTGCGGGACACGTGGTGGTGGGTCTTGGTGCGGGACACGCCGTGGGTCTTGGTGCGGGACACGTGGTGAGTCTTGGTGCGGGACACGTGGTGGTGGGTCTTGGTGCGGGACACGTGGTGGTGGGTCTTGGTGCGGGACACGTGGTGGTGGGTCTTGGTGCGGGACACGTGGTGGTGGGTCTTGGTGCGGGACACGTGGTGGTGGGTCTTGGTGCGGGACACGTGGTGGTGGGTCTTGGTGCGGGACACGTGGTGGTGGGTCTTGGTGCGGGACACGTGGTGGTGGGTCTTGGTGCGGGACACGTGGTGGGTCTTGGTGCGGGACACGTGGTGGTGGGTCTTGGAGCGGGACACGTGGTGGTGGGTCTTGGTGCGGGACACGCCGTGGGTCTTGGTGCGGGACAACGCCGTGGGTCTTGGTGCGGGACACGTGGTGGTGGGTCTTGGTGCGGGACACGTGGTGGTGGGTCTTGGTGCGGGACACGTGGTGGTGGGTCTTGGTGCGGGACACACCGTGGGTCTTGGTGCGGGACACGTGGTGGTGGGTCTTGGTGCGGGACACGTGGTGGTGGGTCTTGGTGCGGGACACGTGGTGGTGGGTCTTGGTGCGGGACACGTGGTGGTGGGTCTTGGTGCGGGACACGTGGTGGTGGGTCTTGGTGCGGGACACGTGGTGGTGGGTCTTGGTGCGGGACACGTGGTGGTGGGTCTTGGTGCGGGACAACGTGGTGGTGGGTCTTGGTGCGGGACACGTGGTGGTGGGTCTTGGTGCGGGACACGTGGTGGGTCTTGGTGCGGGACACGCCGTGGGTCTTGGTGCGGGACACGTGGTGGTGGGTCTTGGTGCGGGACACGTGGTGGTGGGTCTTGGTGCGGGACACGTGGTGGTGGGTCTTGGTGCGGGACACACCTGGTGGTGGTCTTGGTGCGGGACACGTGGTGGTGGGTCTTGGTGCGGGACACGTGGTGGTGGGTCTTGGTGCGGGACACGTGGTGGTGGGTCTTGGTGCGGGACACGTGGTGGTGGGTCTTGGTGCGGGACACGTGGTGGTGGTCTGGTGCGGGACACGCCGTGGGTCTTGGTGCGGGACACACCGTGGGTCTTGGTGCGGGACACGTGGTGGTGGGTCTTGGTGCGGGACACGTGGTGGTGGGTCTTGGTGCGGGACACGTGGTGGTGGGTCTTGGTGCGGGACCACCGTGGTGGGTCTTGGTGCGGGACACGTGGTGGTGGGTCTTGGTGCGGGACACGTGGTGGTGGGTCTTGGTGCGGGACACGTGGTGGTGGGTCTTGGTGCGGGACACGTGGTGGTGGGTCTTGGTGCGGGACACGTGGTGGTGGGTCTTGGTGCGGGACACGTGGTGGTGGGTCTTGGTGCGGGACACGTGGTGGTGGGTCTTGGTGCGGGACACGTGGTGGTGGGTCTTGGTGCGGGACACGTGGTGGGTCTTGGTGCGGGACACGTGGTGGTGGGTCTTGGTGCGGGACACGTGGTGGTGGGTCTTGGTGCGGGACACGCCGTGGGTCTTGGTGCGGGACACGCCGTGGGTCTTGGTGCGGGACACGTGGTGGTGGGTCTTGGTGCGGGACACACCGTGGGTCTTGGTGCGGGACACACCGTGGGTCTTGGTGCGGGACACGTGGTGGTGGGTCTTGGTGCGGGACACGTGGTGGTGGGTCTTGGTGCGGGACACGTGGTGGTGGGTCTTGGTGCGGGACACGTGGTGGTGGGTCTTGGTGCGGGACACGTGGTGGTGGGTCTTGGTGCGGGACACGTGGTGGTGGGTCTTGGTGCGGGACACGTGGTGGTGGGTCTTGGTGCGGGACACGTGGTGGTGGGTCTTGGTGCGGGACACGCCGTGGGTCTTGGAGCGGGACACGCCGTGGGTCTTGGTGCATGACGGGGGGGGGGTGGGGGGTCGGACGCGACGTTCCTCGCCCGGGATGGTTCGCTCTGAGCCAGCCGGAGGATGGGGCCATTGGGGATTTGCGTTTGGTGATGGGCGGCATTGCTGAGAGGGCCTCTCCATAAAGGTGGAGACCAAAAACCAGCGCAAAAAACCGACCACGGCGCGCATAGTCCCTCTGTGTGCACCACTCACTCATCGACTCTCCCCTGAGTTAAAAGTGTGGTGAGCGTGAGTGAGTAGGAGTGTTGGTGAGTATTGGTGAGTATTGGTGAGTGCTGGTGAGTAGGAGTCCTGGTGAGTGTTGGTGAGTAGGTGAGCAGTGGTAAGTCTTGCTGAGTGCAGGTTCACACTAATTGGTGACGTAGTTGGCATGTACAAACTCTTTATTGTCCAATACAAAAACGCGCTAAGCGAACCCCACGGGTTCATCACGGGGTCACCGGGGGTATGGGGGGCGTCGTGTATCGTGGGGGAGGTGCGGATATGGGATGTGGGGGAACAGGTGAGGGAGGGGTGTGGGGTGTGAGGGGGTGTGGGGGCGGTGTGTGGTGTCGGGGTTTGGTGCTGTGTAATCGATCTGTACACGAGTGTGTCTCTATGCAGTATGTACACGAGTGTGTCTCTATGCAGTATGTACACGAGTGTGTCTCTACGCAGTATGTAAAAACATCCTCAATCGGGAGACAAATATGGTCGGGCATGGTGCTGGCCACCCATCCATCCGCGTGCCGTGCCGACCTTCATAGGTTCTACTCGCGAGCAGCACTTGCCCCAACAGTCTGTTGAAACTTGCACGGGGATTCTAGATTTGAAGCTTTCATGACTGCAATGATTCATACTCTTAGTTCTTTCGGCAAAGTCACGTAGGTAAAAAATGAAATTAAAATTAATAAAAATAAAACAATAAAAATCACAACGTTTCGGAGGCAACACAAGTCTCCGTCATCAGGTGGGACCGTCACAGCCAGATTTGCTGCCTGGCTGTGACGGTCCCACCTGATGACGGAGACTTGTGTTGCCTCCGAAACGTTGTGATTTTTATTGTTTTATTTTTATCAATTTTAATTAAATTTTTTACCTACGTGACTTTACCGAAAGAACTAAGAGTATTGCACGGGGATCTTTGCGTGTGTTCGTGGTGCATCTGTGGACGTGTGCGTATGTTCGTGGTGCATCTGTGGACGTGTGCGTGTGTTTGGTGACCTCCGAAAACTATTATTACTCCACCCTGAAGCTGAGACTTTAAACCGCACGTGCGAGCGTGATGTATATGTGTACAACACGTGCGTGTGTGTAACACGTGCGTGTGTGTAACACGTGTGTGATGCGTGTACACGCGTGTGTACGTGTGTTTGTCCAACATTCCAAACGGGACACGCGCCACACACAGCCACACTCACCCAGTGAGGCGCTCCTCCTCACCACTGCTCACCGCCGCGTGCTGCCACTCCTGTCTGCAGAGCGACGTCGCTCACGTGGCCCAAACGGCACGGCGAGGCGAGGGTGGCGTGGAGGTATTGGGGGGTATGGGGACCCCCCCCCCATGCATCATCGCCCAGGTAGCTCCTCCAACCACACCCAGGGTCACCACTCCCATCCACCAATGCTCCCAGGTGCCCCTCTACAACCACGCGCCCCTCCTCCTGCTGCTGTTCCTTCTCACCTTCCTCCTCTTCCTCACACACCTCCTCGTGTGGTCCTCAATCCTCCTCCTACTCGTCTCCTCTTCCTCATCTGCTCACTCTAATCTTCTCCTCCAACAACTCCCTTCATCATCATCATCCTCTCCTCTTCCTCCCCCGCTCCTCCTCGTCAGCTCCCCTCCTCGCCCTCTCCCCCCGCCCGCGGCCGCCCGTGCTTCACTGCAGCGCGAACATCCACACGGGCATGATGTCGCTGGGGAAGTCGCGCTGCTCCTGCTCGGCGAGCACGCGCAGCGCGGCGCGCCGCACGATGCCGTGCAGCACGCGCAGCTCGCGCGCCACGCTGCCGTCCACCTCGTCCAGCACGACCCCCTCGCGCGCCACGTTGTCCTTGACGATGATGACCCCGTCCTGGCGCAGCGCGCGCCGGCATCGCACCAGCAGCTCCACCAGGTCCTCGTCGGTCAGGTAGCCTGGCGCGCGGGGGGCGGGGGGGGGCGGGGGGGAGTTGGATGGGAAGGCGGTGGGCGGGAGATGTCAGGCGCAGCCGGACTCGTGCACGGGGCGCGTGACCCCACGTGACTCGTGCGCGGGGCGCGTGACCCCACGTGACTCGTGCGCGGGGCGCGTGACCCCACGTGACTCGTGCGCGGGGTGCGTGACCCCACGTGACTCGTGCGCGGGGCGCGTGACCCCACGTGGCTCGTGCACGGGGCGCGTGACCCCACGTGACTCGTGCACGGGGCGCGTGACCCCACGTGACTCGTGCGCGGGGCGCGTGACCCCACGTGACTCGTGCACGGGGCGCGTGACCCCACGTGACTCGTGCGCGGGGCGCGTGACCCCACGTGACTCGTGCGCGGGGCGCGTGACCCCACGTGACTCGTGCGCGGGGCGCGTGACCCCACGTGACTCGTGCGCGGGGCGCGTGACCCCACGTGACTCGTGCGCGGGGCGCGTGACCCCACGTGACTCGTGCACGTGGACTTGTCGGGGACCTTATCAACCGCAACTTAACCCGTGACCCGCGCCTTAGGCATGCTCCTCGCCACCACTGCTCTCCCCTCACCGATGACTAATGAATCCAGACGACTCACGTCGAACACACACGCGGCCGCCTCTACCGCTCACCTCACCCATGGCCCACCGCGCACGCGTGGCCCCCACCCTTAACCCCTCACCCGTAGCCCTTGACCCACACCCCACCCGTGCCCTACGGTTCACCCCTCACTTCCTCCCGCCTCCCGCCTCACCCTCATTCATCTCCCCTCCTCACGCCTGACCCTCACCGATGACCCACTGAATCCAGATGACGTCGTAAGACGCGCTGGGAGGTCTGAAGTCCTGCAGGCGCGAGCAGATGAAGCGATTGACGCGCCGGGCCTCGTCGCGGCACAGGTAGCTCTTGCGGGCGATGTTGAGGAACCTCCTGGTCATGTCCACCATGTCCACGGAGCGGAACTCTGGCAGCAGCAGGTGCTTGGTGATGCGCCCGATGCCCGCGCCGCAGTCGAGGGCGAGCTCCGAGCGCGCCTGGCCCGCGCTGTCCTGCGCGTCGTCATCAGCGGCAGCACCAGGAGCAGTCGTAGCAGTCGTAGCAGTAGTAGCAGCACCAGCAGTAGCATTAGTGGTGACATTAGGAGCAACAGCAGCAGCATCATCATCAACAGCAGCATCATCATCAGTAGCAGCAGTCGGAGCAGCAGCAGCAGCAGCATCAGCAGCAGCATCAGCAGCAACTTTAATATAATTATCATCCATAGCATCACGACAATCACCGATATCATCATCACGACCACATACTGGAATACTCATCACGAACCTTATAACCATCGCCAGCATATCATCATCATTACCATCAATCACCATCACTATCAATCATCACCATAATCACCACTATTAATCATCATTACCATCTATCATTATCATGATCACCATCATCACGTTTCATGTCCAGTTTCCATGGCTCAAGACCGATGTGTGCCGATCACGGCCTGCATCATGGATTTCTCTCTGAATCTTGCATGAAACTGCACGATGAGAATGTGTTGTGTCTGGAACCACCTCAACCGCCAAAAGGAACGATCCCCCGTGTGGCCTCATCAGACTGTTGAGGGGGTGAGTGAGCAGCACCCGGCCGCCTTTGCCCGCCAGTGGCAATGTTTACACACTGCACCACGTGCTCATTTGGGACTGCCACAGTCACCACCATCCGCCCGTGACTCTCCCACCCCGCGGCATGGATTGCCGGCGGCTGCTGCTGCCACCTGCCGGGGCAGGCGAGGAGAGAGAGTCGAACCCCGAGGTGGGGTGGTCCCTCCAGGGCGCGAGCGGGGCGGGTCCCCCCCACACAGGTCACCTCCCGCGCCACGCTACTTTAAACAGTGACCTGGCAACGCGGAGCGTGAGACCCCTTTAGAGGAGACGAGGGGAGGATTCTCTCACAGACTGGGGAGTGCTGCCTTGGCTTAGGCGTGTTGTCGGCATGCTGGATTGGGGGGGGGGGGCGTTCCATAACCAACCGCCTGCTGCTGATTGGATTCCGCCCCCCAATTATCGCCCTGACCCTTCCCGAGGACCTCCACGTGCTCCTCACGCAGTGGGGATCTCTCTCTGTCTCTCCCTCTGTCTGTCTCTCCCTCTGTCTGTCTCTGTCTCTCCCTCTGTATATCCCTCTGTCTGTCTCTCTCTCTCTCTCTGTCTCTCCCTCTGTCTCTCCCTACTGACAGAGAGAGACCTCCGCGGCTGCAACCAACACCCATCGCCCCCCCCTCCCCCAGGATCCGCACCCCGACAAATCTTGCGAGGAAGCGGCGGGAGGCGTCGATGTCGATGCCGGCGATCTCCGTGTAGCCCCCCAGCATGCTCTCCTCCGTGGGGGTCATCCCCTCGTAGTAGCGGCGCGCCTTGGCGTAGAAGGTGATGTCATTGCCCACCCGCTCGCAGGTCAGCACGAAAATCTTCACTGCAGGGCACACGGACAACAGCGGTCCCACTTCGACGAACGGATTCACGGCCGACTTCGGGTTGCGATCAAATCGTCGTGCGGGGTCTCATGTCCAGTATGTGTAACTGTAGCCCTCCACCACCCGACGGCAGAGACGATGAAATCGAGTCGTGCAGTTGTGACGTCGTGGAGAAAATGTGCCGATTATATTTTGACAATGCTGTCCGATATTTCGCTGGATATTACAACCGGCTTCATCAGACTGCTGGGACAGGTTCTGTTAGCGAGCACCTCAGGTGGTGGGTGGCCAGCCCAAGTCCGGACCGCCTTTGTCTCCCGAGTGGCGATGTTTACACACCGCATCAGGTACTCTTTCGAGGCCGAGTCGACCTAGGGGAGGCCCAGCACCGGTTCACATAATTGGGTTCGTAGCGGAGCGCTCGATCCACTGCGTCACCGCGAACACCGCGACGACCAACGCGGTGCACGAGGGCGCTGGGAGCCGCTCACGCGGCGGCGCGGGTTCTTACCGAGGGGTGAGTGGATCACGCGCACAGACACTCGGTTACTCACCCCTTCACCTGGTGAGTGGGTCCTGCGGAGTCACTACAGACTCGCATATCGCTCACCCTCACCTGGTGAGCACACGCACCGCAGACTCGCGAGGCGCTCACCCTCACCGAGTGAGTGGGTCTTGAGCAGGTACTGCAGGCTCTCGAAGAAGTAGGTTCGCACCGTGGTCTGCAGAGACGACGACATCCGTGCTGAGCCTCGCGTCTCTCTCCCCGGGGCCTCCCCAGCCCAGACTCGCACCGCTATATTTACCCCAAGGGGTTCCTGGCAGGGGTACAGAGAGGGGCCAGCGCCGGCGGGAGGGGATGGGGGATCAAGGGGGTGGTGCAGGGTCTGAAACACGAGGAGACAGACGAGGTAGGCAGAGGGAGAGAGAAGGGCGGGGTGACCGGGAGCTGCACTAAGACGGGGAGTGGAGTGGGGTAGTGGAGTGGGGTAGAGGAGTGGGCATGCTGGAGTGTAGTGGAGTGGGGTAGTGGAGTGGGGTAGTGGAGGGGCATGTTAGAGTGTAGTGGAGTGGGGTAGTGGAGTGGGGTAGAGGAGTGGGCATGCTGGAGTGTAGTGGAGTGGGGTAGTGGAGTGGGGTAGTGGAGTGGGGTAGGGGAGGGGCATGTTGGAGTGTAGAGGAGTGGAGTAGTGGAGTGGGGGAGTGGAGGGGCATGTTGGAGTGTAGAGGAGTGGGGTAGGGGAGTGGGTAGGGGAGGGGCATGTTGGAGTGAGGTAGTGGAGTGGGGTAGGGGAGTGGGGTAGGGGAGGGGCATGTTGGAGTGAGGTATTGGAGTGGGGTAGGGGAGTGGGGTAGGGGCATGTTGGAGTGGGGTAGTGGAGTGGGTAGGGGAGTGGGGTAGGGGAGGGGCATGTTGGAGTGGGGTAGTGGAGTGGGGTAGGGGAGTGGGGTAGGGGAGGGGCATGTTGGAGTGTAGAAGAGTGGGGTAGGGGAGGGGTATCCCTTTGCCAGCGCCCGGCTGTTGACACCCTTAACCCCCCCACCCCCGGGTATAGCTGAAATGACAAATGGATTGGGTTGTGTTTAATTCCAGAAGGGTCCCGTGAAAGAAAAAGAAGTGTGTTTACAACCTCTTCAATTCCATCTCCTGGCGGGGCATTTGAAACAACGTTCCATGTTGATAAATCTCCCGTTTGTAATTCATCACCGTCGTCATCAGACAGGGTCACTCCACTGCTGGATTAGGACTTCAAGAGCTGTCTCCCCAAACCGCCGCAGCCACATCTCATGATGCTGCGACGCTCGACTCCACCAATCCACGAGCTCCCCAGCGGACGTACTCTCCGACGCGTTCCATCCTCTCCGACGCGTTCCATCCTCTCCGACGCGTTCCATCCTCTCCGACGCGTTCCATCCTCTCCGACGCGTTCTATCCTCTCCGACGCGTTCCATCCTCTCCGACGCGTTCCATCCCGTGTATAATTAGCGATGTCGCGTTTTGCGAGAGATGCCATTGTTGTCCAGTCGAGATGCCCGGCGTGATTCGGCTGCCGCAGCAGCAGCAGCAGCGGCTGCTGCTGATGGTCAAGTTGGTCAACATGAACACGCTCACAGCAAAGGGTCTGGGTGGCTCAACCACGCCTCGAGTGGCCGTTTCGGAGGTACAGAGTTGGAGCTGGCAACGATGAACTCATGGGTTCGAATCCGGGTTTCAGACGCCCGTGATTCAATCGTGTTCTCTGATTTGATTGCGGAACTTGTTGTGAAATTGATCGAAGATGGCCCTGGGCTTCACCTAGGTCGACTCAGTGTTAAATTAGTACCTGGTCCGATGTGCGAACATCACCATTGGAGGTACAAAGGCGGCCGGGTGCGGCATTAGCTGCACCACCCCCAAGTGGACAGTGTCGGTGGTCACGAGCACCACTTGCCTCGCCCACCTTGAAGGAGCTATACGGGGAATGTGTCTTTAGAGGCGCGTGATGTCCAGGTGTGTATGCAAGTGTGTGAACATGTGGATATACAGGTGTGCGGCTAAGCGCGTGCACAGGCGCGTGTAGGTGCATGGGTATCTTCTGGAGCTCAGCCCTGGATAGCTGCGGCGTTAAGTAAATCCTGGGCGCCATCCCCTCGCTTGGACACGGGTTTAGTGAATTGGCCAAACGTGGCAATGTCATTTAATACGAAGTAGTCAAGTTCAAGTTCATTTATTAGCTATAGCCCTGTGAGCCATTCGGCTCTTGCATCAGGTGCAACCGAAACAAACAAAAAACAAAAACATGAACAAGAAAACATCTTAAAGTGAATATGTGACTATGTGCAAACAGAAAATCCAAGAAAAGACACAACATATTGCAGAAAAGACACCGCACACCAACGCTGTGTGAAAAAATCCCAATGGGATGCAAGTCAAACAACAACAACCACAAGACAACTTAGATTAAGGCCATCAGTCTAACTCCGTACTACAACACACAAACATCGGCTTTCGCGACCAATATTATCCATAATCGAGGTGTTGGGGTAGATCGCGTAAATATATGTCAATGTAGCAGGACCCTCCTGCAAAGGAGTCTTGAGACTAAGTGAGGCTTTTCTGGGTAAACACAAGGAATGATCATTATTACAGCGAGCCTTTCATGGCTAATAAAGGCCGTGATTAATGAATCAGCCATAAATATATCAATCCGATCCGTCATCATCTCTCACGACTCTGCCATGTCACGATCCACCACCACCACCTGGCGGACTGAGACGTCATCTCTCACGACTCTGACATGTCGTGATCCACCACCACCACCACCAGCTGGCGGGCTGAGACGGCATCTCTCACGACTCTGACATGTCGTGATCCACCACCACCAGCTGGCGGGCTGAGACGGCATCGCTGCATCTGCGGGCCGGTGTCACGGCGAGGCCGCTGGACTGAGACACCCGCCTGTCGATCTCCCTGCGCGGCAGCTGACGACACGACGGGCGATGATGCACGGCACTGATCACAGGCTGATGGCGCGCCTCACTTCCCAGTGCGTCTTATAATCCGGCGCGCTCCACGCTCGTGTGGCAAGACACCAGGTATGTACAACTTTCTGAACACCCGGGCACAGGTGTGGAGTGCGTCTTACTTTTCGGTGCGTCTTATAATCCGGATAAGACAACAGCAATACCTCTCGCTGCGTCTTATAATCCGGATAAGACAACAGCAATACCTCTCGCTGCGTCTTATAATCCGGATAAGACAACAGCAATACCTCTCGCTGCGTCTTATAATCCCGATAAGACAACAGCAATACCTCTCGCCGCGTCTTATAATCCGGATAAGACAACAGCAATACCTCTCGCTGCGTCTTATAATCCGGATAAGACAACAGCAATACCTCTCGCTGCGTCTTATAATCCGGATAAGACAACAGCAATACTTCTCGCTGCGTCTTATAATCCCGATAAGACAGCAATACCTCTCGCTGCGTCTTATAATCCGAATAAGACAACAGCAATACCTCTCGCTGCGTCTTATAATCCGAATAAGACAACAGCAATACCTCTCGCTGCGTCTTATAATCCGGATAAGACAACAGCAATACCTCTCGCCGCGTCTTATAATCCGGATAAGACAACAGCAATACCTCTCGCTGCGTCTTATAATCCCGATAAGACAACAGCAATACCTCTCGCTGCGTCTTATAATCCGGATAAGACAACAGCAATACCTCTCGCTGCGTCTTATAATCCGGTTAAGACGACAGCAATACCTCTCGCTGCGTCTTATAATCCGGTAGGTGTGTGCGTTGACGCAGATGCCTACACTTTTTGTATTGACCGCAGGCGCGACATCGGGATGCGTCTTACTTTCCGGTGCGTCTTATAATCGGGAGGGGGGAGGGCGCCAGGCGTCGCCATGGAAACACGGGCGGAGCCAGAGGAGGAGGCGGGAGGGGCCTTGCTCAGCGGCCCTAGCGACGGCGCGCGGTGGCCCCT